TCCTCTCTCTCTGCCCCTCCCCTGTTCACGCTCTGTCTCTCTCTTTCTAAAGGTAAATTTTAAAAAACACAAAAATTTAAAAAAAAAAGTTACTAGGTCATGATTTAAAAATAAATAAAATAAAATAAAATAAAATAAAATAAAAGGGAGCATGAGGACCCAAGTCAACATTTGACACTCTCACTTAAAAGAGAAAGTCAAAAAATGTATAATAATTAAGCAGAGTTCTCTATTTTCTCCTTCATGTGACCTCCTTAAATACTGATTTTTCCATTCAATATAAAATGCCACAATAATGTTATTGTCTCACCTGTTTTATGATGATGTCTGATTCAGATTAGGTGGATAATTTACCTTTACAAAACATTAAATATCCACATGTAGAATCATTTACGGAGGTGTGTAAGGTATGGTGGTATAGGGAAAGGGCTGGGGAAGGATGATACAAATCTTGTAACATTCTTCTTATTACCAGCCTTTTTGACATCTTAATTCTCTAAGTGATTCCCAGACAATTAGCTTGAGAACATCTAAAATAAGATGATGTGAACATAGCTAAAAGCTTTCCCAGTGGTAAACATTCTCCACCTAGGAAATTATTTCACTACCCTCTGAATGGCCTAAGTTACAGTTCTTCTGGAGTACATAACAGAGTAAAAGCAACAAAAGATAACACCAATTACACATAATTAGAGGAACTTTGCAAGATAAGGAAAAATAATACAAGCTATTATTATTAAAGCTTAAATGTTAGCTTTTAACCAACATTTAAATGCCAAGAATACCCCCTTGTTGCAGGTGTAAGATAGGCTTGGTGAGCTACATTTTCATCTTTGAAAGGATAGCTAAAAAGAGGTTCTTAGTTAAGGTTTACTCTACTTCTATTATAGCTACGGTATAAGGTAATACAGAGAAAGGCTCTGCATTGTAAATTAAAAACCCACTAAGCATTCTTTAATGTCATTATTTCAATTTACTTTAAGAATATGAGTGATATGATAATGTGTATACTATACCTTTCTCAGGCTTTCATATTCCTCACGAAGTTCCCCAGGCTTGCTTAATTTGATTGGTGCTCTGAATATAAACTCTGGAGAAAAGGGAAAAGAAACACTTTTTAACAGAAGTTTCTAGGAAAGAACCCCAAACCTTGTCCTACTGCTGTCCTCACATTATAAACCACATGAAAAATTGTAGTCATCTTAATTTGAATAGTCATTCATTCGTTAACAAATATTTATTAAAGGGTATAAATGAGGCAGAGTTCTAAGCACCGGTTCAGAAGCACTGAACACATAAAGCTCTTGCTCTTGTGGAGTTTAGGATCTTACAGACAGTAAACAAACAAGTGTGTACATAATACCACTGGTGGTACTGTTATGGAGGAAAATAAATGTAGGATGAAAGAAAAAGGTTATTTTATATAGAATGGTCTGGAAGGGCCTGGTAAAATAACATGTTAAAGGACCTCAAGGAAAAACTATACTTAAAGTTCTTAGTTCAATGTTACTAAGTAACATTTTAAATGAGCTGAAGTTTTATTCATAACACTGTATCTTTCTATTTCTTTTTCAACATTGCCATTGCCAGCAGAGTATTTTCCTGTATCCAACCTGTAAATATTTTCAGTATATAACCTGATTTTTTTACCCTTAAAGCCTTTGTGGTTTTTATTGGCCTATAGAAGAAAGTCAAAACTCTTCAATCTGTCATTCAAGGCCCTCCAAAGGCATATCACAACTTCATCTTTCTCCAGCATTGGATCTCTTAACCCTTGACTGTTTAGTTACAATAGATCCATGCCATATATTTTTAAACTTTCTACACTGTTTTCTTAGCTGAAATTCTGTTTTCTACCCTCATCTCTCTATATTTTTAAGTCCAAGCTATCCAGGACCACAGGAGACATACAGTACACACGGGTAATATAAATAGATGATAAAAATCTGAATTAAGAATAGGAATAAAAGATAGTTCTAGGGGCACCTGGGTTGCTCATTTGGTTAAGCATCCGACTCTTGATTTTGGCTCAGGTCATGATCTCAGAGTTGTGAGATCAAGCCCTGCATCAGGCGCCATGCTGGGCATGGAGCCTGCTTAAGATTCTCCCTCTGGAAAATGGGTGATTGGCACCAAGAAGGGCACTTGTTGGGATGAGCACTGGGTGTTGTATATAAGCGATGAATCACAGGAATCTACCCCCAAAACCAAGAGGACACTGTACACACTGTATGTTAGCCAACTTGACAATAAATTATATTAAAAAAAAAATTCTCCTTCTCCCTTGTCTCTGCCCCTCCCCCGCTAACATGTGCCCTCACTCACACGCGCTTTCTCTCTCAAAATCAATAAATAAATAAGTTCTAAATGCTAACAAAAAGGAGCGGAAAAGTCCACATTTACACTCCTTAAATGTGACATTTCTATATAACTCTATGTATATGTAGTGGTCAATATACAGTATTAATTTTAAGACTTTCTAAGAACTCTATATCCCACTAAGGTTGATAAATATTTGTTGTAGACAAGTAGGCTCCTCAAAAAAATTGACTTTTATCCTTTTTCAGTTGTCTCAACTATTCTGAAAGACTCTAGCATACCTAAGAAATATGGAAGATAGAAACACTGGATCTAATGCAGAAGCAGGGAACAGTAACTTAAAGGCCTACAAGTACTAGAGAACTGTTAGACTTTGCGTGTAGGAGGCAAACATTCCACCACCTTCACTCACTTAAAAAAAGTCCTGATGACTATTTTCATCATATCCCTTAGGCACATTTCTAATTATAGGCAAACAGTATTTAAAATCTGATGCTTTAATAGAGAAGGAGAAGCAGAGAGGTAAAAGAAAACCCTTAAGGCAATACAGTACTTTAAATCCATTTATGGAGAACCTATCACATGTAAAATACTTCATATATATTTTCTCAGTGAATCTTCACAGAAACTTTGTAAGGCAGGTATTATACCCATTTTACAAGAAGGAAAATGAGAGGTTAATGACTTGTCTAAGGCCACAAAACTAGTAAATGGCAAAACCAACAGAAAACTATTAATAGGAATAAAGAGGGAAATCAAATAATTATTAAAAAGGCAACCCAACAAAGAAGATATAATAATCACGAACTTGTATGAACATATACCACAGCAAAAAAACTAATAACATTATAAGGAGGAATTAATAAATCCAAAATAATGGTAAGAAATTTTAACACACCACAACTAAAAACATATCAGGCAGTCCAAAAGGAAGTAAAAATGTAGAAAAACTGAACAAAAAAATTAACAAACTTTATCCTAATATATTTATATATATGTGTGCACTCAATGAATAGAATATATATTCCTTAAAGCAAACAAGGAACAATTAAAAATTCACTAGGTCACAAAGAACTTCCAAAGAATTCATATTATACAGACTTTGCTCTTGGATCCTAGCTGCTATTTTCCAAGCCAAGTTTTCTGGCTACTTGGCTGGTTATTCTGGATTACCCAATATTCTTTTTCTTTTTTTTTTTTTTTTTTTTTTTAAATTTTTTTTTTCCACGTTTTTATTTATTTTTGGGACAGAGAGAGACAGAGCATGAACGGGGGAGGGGCAGAGAGAGAGGGAGACACAGAATCGGAAACAGGCTCCAGGCTCTGAGCCATCAGCCCAGAGCCTGACGCGGGGCTCGAACTCACGGACCGCGAGATCGTGACCTGGCTGAAGTCGGACGCTTAACCGACTGCGCCACCCAGGCGCCCCCCCAATATTCTTTTTCAATAAATTCTTTTTCTGCTTAAATTTGCCAGAGTAGATTTCTGCTGATTAAAACAGACAACCGGCTGGTTGCATCTTTTAGGTGAAACTATGAAATGACCCATAAACCAAGCTCTAGTAAAACAGGTTAAGAAAACAAAGAGAGAGAAGACAAAGTAATACCTAGAATAAAGAGAAGGACCAAAATACAGATATCAAGGTTGGGGGGGGGGGGGGGGGGGGGGTGTTAAATCTCCAAAGGTTATCAAACAATGCTATAATGAATGATCTTGCATGCATATCATTTTGCAAGTATATTCATAGATCAAAGTGTTGGAATTACAGTTACTTGTCAAAGAATATGTACCTACGTGTTTTTGTAATTCTGACAGACAATACCAAGTCTTCCTTCCTTCCGCTGGCCTATACTGATTTAAGTCCCACCAGCAATGCATAAGAATGCCATTTCCTCATACCTTTTCCAACACAACAAGTGTTGAAACATTTTAGTTTTGCCAATCTAATAGGCGAAATTCTGTATCTTATATACATATTTTATGAGTGAAATTGAGTACTTTTCATGTTTGAGTAATTTGCATTTACTTTGGTATGAAATGTTCTTTACTCCTTATATTAACTTTTTCTTCTTGATTTGTAAAAGCTCTCTTTCTATAAGGTAAATTAGCTTTATGTCACATAACTAGCAACACTTTTCCTAGTCTATCATTTGCCTTGACTTTGCTTATAGTGGTTATTTTTATGTAGTTATATTCATCAAACTTCTTTTATGGCTTCAGTATTTTTGTACAATTGGAAAGACCTTCCCCAGGCCAAAATATAATAGCAAATTCTATCATATTTTCTTCTGGTACAAAGTATAAGATTCTTCTCCTGTCTCCTTTAAAAAATTCCAAATCTTTATTTTTATTTGAGGAGCAACATGAGGAACACAGTCTTATTCAGGCTTATAAACTTACTATCCAACACAAGGGACCAAAAATATTTTAGTGGTGGCCTGGTGGAAATGATGACAATTTTTATTTACCGTTGGAGAATTTGCTTCTTGACAATGGTCTTGCTAACATTTGGAACAAAATGTCCAAAGAGCTTACCATCTTCATCACATAGTGTAAATGATACAATGTTAAAAGCCTGATCCCCAAATAGAAGTTTCCAGAGCTTTGGAGAACTCATCTCAACTACTTCCTCTTCTGTAAAATCAGAGTATTATGACCGGCCATTATGAGGATCAAATGAGTGTAATGAAAATGAAAACACTATAAACTATTTCAGCCAGTATAGTGGAATGCAATAAAATCTACTAACTACAAAATTGTCTCTGGTATTGGAGAGAGAAAGAAGTTGTGGTTTGGTCTGGTTTACTTGCAATTACAACTTACAAGAAAAAAAAATATAATTATTCAATTGCTTTGATAAGTATATTACATTGCAAGTTAAATTAACTTTCGGACACCTATCAATAGAAATCTCAAAGTTTATATATAAGGCCAAGTGGAACTCAGCATACTGACTGAAATCTGGGCCTTGACTTATTTGAGAGTAAAAGGTAATGGGTAGGGTAGAGGTGAAGTACCAATTTACATTCACCAAAATCAGTACTAATATAGATTAGCTTAATATCAGATTAAGATTAATAATGTTTAGGAGCAACTGGGTGGTGGCTCAGTCAGTTAAGCCTCTGACTTGGGCTCAGGTCATGATCTCATGGTTTGTGAGTTTGAGCATTACGTAGCACTCTGTGCTGACAGCTCAGAGCCTGGAACCTGTTTCAGATTCTGTGTCTCCCTCTCTGCCCCTCCCCCACTCACGCTCTGTCTCTCTCTCTCTCTCAAAAACAATAAACATTAAAAAAATTTTTCTTAAAGATTAATGATGTTTAATGCTTTAACAATACAAAATGCTAAATAGTCAAGATCATTTTTTGCCCCAACAGAACTGTGCTACATTAAATGGCATTGTGCCCCCAAATTCACAAAAAAAACTGTGAATTGGTCCAACATGACACTAATTTAAATATTTAATCCTATTTCCCATTTTACTAATACCCTCTAGAAATGTTAACAAGGCAAAAAAAATCCCATCTTTATCCTATGGACTTGCAAAAAAAAAATCCATATTATATTCTAATACCTGCTCGGTCAATCAAGTGAAAGTATTTAGAAATGCCAAGGCTTCTCTTTGCCTTGGTCTCTTCATCTATCAAATAAAGATCAAAATACTGGCCAACCTACCTCCTAGGAATGCAGAGGATCACAATTAATAGAAGTAGGAGTAATCAATGAAGAATCCCTATAATAAATAAAAACAGCTAACATTTAATAAAAGTA